CCCTAAGCCCTAAACCCTATAAGCCCTATAAATCCCAAGCCCTAAGCCCTAAGCCCTAAACCCTATAAACCCTAAACCTTAGACCCTAAGCCCTAAACCCTATAAGTCCTAAAACTATCCTGAACCCTAAACCCTAGACCCTAGATCCTAAACCCTAAGTCCTAAGACAGGAAAGGCCTCGAAGACCTCGGAGCCTCCGGCGCCGTCGGCGCCTGCGGCGCTGGCGCTCGTAGCGGCGGCGCCCCAGGCTGGGGTACTATGTATATATATATATATATATATATATATATAGAGTTTAGGGTTTAGGGTTTAGGGTCTTAATACAGTGTTTTATTTTTTTGGAAAAGGTACAATATGGTGTTTGTTATGTTTTGAAGAGGGTACAACATATTACCATACTACGGCTTGATACTAAGCAGGTTCCATAACAGGCTCTGTTCTTCTTACGGTTTTGGGCTTGGGTTTGGCGTTGATGATGTTGGGTGGAGGGTTTTGGGTTTCGGGTTCAGGGTTTTGGGTTTGGGGCTTTGGGAATTCCCTTTTTGGGTTTAGAGAAGTTGGGTTCTGGGTTTTTGGTTCAGGTTTTCGGGTTCAGGATTTTGGGCATAGGGTTTAGGGTTTGGGGTTTGGGATTTGGGGTTCAGTGTTGTTGTGTTCAGGAGTTTTGGCTTTTGGTTTAGGGTTTCGGGGTTTGCGGGCTTAAGGTTGACGGCTTAAGGTTGAGGGTTTAGGGTTGAGGGTTTAGGGTTTAGGATTTTGGGTTAAGCAAGTTAGCTTCAGGTGCCACAAACAAGGCATGCATAAAAGGAACTTAATCCAAGGTACCACAAAAAGACATAGCAACGGTAATTCCGTCTAAGGTGCTACTAAGCAGCGAAATAAACGAAGGACCTCATAACTTGAGGTGCCACAATTGCGAGCTATGCTAAACACTTACTGTAATAAGGTAACTCTATAATGTAGGCGGGATTGTTTTCGAGATAACTAATCAACCCTAAACCTTAATCCCTGAACCCTAAACCCTGAACCCTAAAACTTAAACTGCCCTAAACCCTAAACCCTATTATGGCAACTCAGCAGGCGACGGCGGCGACGGCGGCGAAGGTGGCGACGGTTTCGAATCCCAAGGCTGGGATGGGTTTGGGTTTGGCGATAAGGGGTGTTAGGACGATTTGGGGCTTCAGGGTATTCGGGTTTGGGGGTTTAGGCTTTAGGGTTTGGGGTTTTGGGTTTGGGGATTAGGGCCGGGTATTGGGACGGTTTAGGGCTTTGGGGTTTAAAGTGTTAGGGGTTTAGGGTTGAGTTCTTCGGACTTGAACTCTATTTTTCGTTCAGAAAACCGGTTGTCGGCATTGTGGCTGTTGAGGGATTAAACTGGTGTGGACTTTTCGAAGTGCCGGAGTGGGCCATGGGTGTGGGCCTAAATCCTAAACCCTTGGCTCGGGGCTTGGAGTTTGGGGGACCCGGAGTGGGCTAAGGGTGTGGGCCTAAATCCTAAACCCTAGGATTGGGGCTTGCAGTTTGGGGGACTGGAGATTCTCCTTGGGAGGTGATGGGACTGTTCAGCTAGACCCTTGCAAGGGAGGAGATTCGCCTCAGCAAACCATTACCATGGTCTTCTGGATCTCCATGCAATGCTCGCCTGTAATCCTATTGGCCCTAATCTCACGCACATTCTGCACAGAACAAGTAGCATTCGAAATTGTCTTGTCGCCCTGATGCAGGGAACACTTCAAGAGCTCATCATGACTCTTGGCCTGCATTTGCATCTGTGGCGTCAGGGTTCTGGCGCAGTGTGAATCAAGATGACTCCTGCAGCACTTCTTCAACAACTTTGGGGGGGGGGGCGGCTGAGTTTTATGTGTGCCGCGGACCCTTAGCGAATTCGGGTTTGGAGTTTGGGCATTGGATGGTCGGCAGCCCCTCAATTCACTCTGACGCCAACCTGAGTATTCGCTTCATCTGCTGGCTAGAACCTCGCGGAAGTCGGAGTTATGCTGAATTCAGGAAGAAGACGAAAAGGCAGAATTCGGATGCATCCCGGCGGCATAAGTCCGGTTTCCCTTATTTTATTATATTATGTAAATTTCAAGAAGCCACGGTTCATGGCAGCTCGTTGACACAGGAGCCCTTTCCTCCCCCAAGAACCTTCAAGTGGCAACCCAGTTGGGAAGCCCTTAACCTGCAAACGCAAAAGCCCCTTAAACTGAAGCCCTAACCCTAACCCTGCCGGTACCTACTATATAGGGCCCTAGGGCCTAGGGGCTCTAGTACCCTACATAGTACATAAGTACCTGGGGGGTTAGGGTAACACATGCCAACCTAAACGCTCAAGCTCGGACGCACTGACGCTCTGAGCCCGAAGCCCTGTCTCTCTTAAGAGATCCCTATTTGATGAAGAGCTTGAGGGTCGTATATGGGGGTTTCCGAAAATAGGGGACCTTAATATTGTACCCTAAACAGTAGGATCCTTATTATAAGGGCCCCAAAATAGGGTACCCTAATTTTCGGAAACTCCCAAAGGACATAGACGTCGAGAGCAATACCAACACTATTCCTGAAGGGGTCCCTATCAATACTATGTTTCCCTAGTCTGATTATTAAAGGTCTTTAGCAATATACTTAGTTTAACTATAGCAGGGCCCTGAGCTCCCCGACTCTTGGAGGCTTTTGGAAGCAGGTGCCTCGGATGGCAAAGCTTGGTTTTTCTAGCCGAAATCGAAATTGAAATCCACAAAGTAATAGAATCATGGCCCCCTAAACCCTAAACCCTAAATCCTAAACCCTCCACCCTAAACCCTAAACCCTAGAAAGCTATTAGGAGGTCTAGTTTGTGGGTACTTCTCCGTCCGAGGCTTCATGAGCCCCTAGCTCTAAACGTGGACCCTAGACCATGAAATGGGAGTTTCCGAAAAATAGGGGTACCTTATTTTGGGGTCCTTATAATAAGGATCCCATTATTTGGGGTAGTATATTAGGGTCCCCTATTTTCGGAAACCCTGAAATCTTGAAGTCCCGGCGATCCCCGAAGCTCGTGTGATGACAGCTACGCAGGTTTAGGGTTTAGGGTTTAGGGTTTAGGGTTCGGCTACCAAACGCTAAGACCCTGCAATCCAGGAAGTCGATGAGGCTCTTTCGAACTCATAAGATATTCTGAATTACGGTATGTTGGCATATTGGAGTCCCCTAAGCCCGAAACCGAAAGAGGACTTCAGCTACACGCCGCTCCCGGAAGATGGTCCTGGGCCCTACTTCGTGCGCCTGCGCATTGGGAGCTTCGTGCTGGGAGGCTCTGGGACATTTGGGTAGTTTTCTACATTAGGGTCCCTTTTTAGGTCCCCGATATAGTACGGCACCCTTTTTCAAAAGGACCCTAAAAGGGACCCTAATTTAGAAAGCTACCCATTTAGAGTTTGGGGGCTTTCTGGCTGAAGTTCCATCACATCCGACACGGTTTAGGGTTAGGGTTCAGGGCTTAAGGTTTAGGGTTGATGAAAACTGCGGCCCCTGTTCGCAGATAGAATCACATTCCCCAAGAATCTAGCCGTGTCATCGTCAGCTGCAAATTGCACACCATGCCGGTAACACTAGCGACTGCGACCAGCATGATGATCAGGAAGAAGAGGAGGGAATCTTGATTATTATGATGATGGAAATGATGATGCAGTTGATGATTATGATGATGATGGTGATGGTGGTGGTGATGGTGATGATGCTGCTGATGATGATGATGATGATGATGCTGAGGGGCAACAAACTCCTTGCAACAGCGCTCGCTAGCTGAATACCGTGAGACCTTTTCAGCTGCGTTGGAAGAAGATAATGATGCTGCTGATGATGATGATGGCGGTGATGATGATGATGATGATCATCATGATGATGCCGGTGTTCACCATTCAACCGATCATAACGGCGATAATGAAGTTTGTGATGATGCCTGCGATGATGATGCTGATGCCGGCGATGCTGATGAAGAGTGAAGAATATGACAGTGGATGTTGATCGCGTCGATGGTGACGGTGAAAGGGAGGCACTAATTCGGACAAAAGGGAAACGGAAAACGGGCACGACATGCATCTTGAGGCGTGGATCGCCTCACTCGCAGCTTCCCACACTCCTTGGTGAGTGTTACCCGAACTTTTCAGTTCACTGCCCGCGCGGCGCCCAGCGAGCCTCCCAACTAAAGACGCCCTGAGAGGCGCAGCAGCGTTGGTTTTTGACAGCAAGCGCTTTCCGAGCAAGACGAAGAGGGCCATCAAGGACAACCAAGCTTGGAGCCCACGTTTCCGCGATGCTCGGGCAGGTTCAGATTTATTCTTTGGCGTGTCAGCTTGTAGAACTTCCTCGTTAAAAGTAGAATTCCAACGCAGAGGTTGTCATCGCAGTGAGGATGATGGCGAGTAGTCCTAGTGGGGTCCGTAGCCACGGCAGAAGCAGTGACTTTTCAGACTATTCAACGTACATTACACTGTCAGCCAGCTATACAGAAGTAGCCACAGCAAACGTCCAATCTGCCATAGCAAAACTCACACGAGAAGATATTAAAAAAGGATCTAGCATGCCAACGGACGCATGTGCTGCAGCACCCCTCAGACGATCAGTCCACTAGGAAGCCATTCTCAAGCGGTATAGAAACCTCAACCCTAAACCCCTAAACCCTAAACCCTCCCCTTAAGCCCTGTAGGCCCTGTAGGCTCTTGAGGATAGCACCGCGACACCGTGGAGGGCTGCAGCTCAGCGTTTTCGAAGCCTCTGAAGATCAAGTTGAAAAGGCTCCAGCCGTGGGAAAGCCCTTAACTTATAAACCCTAAACCCCAAAGTAACATTGCAGCGGCAGACGCATCGAGGGCGATTGCGAGGCTTTTGGTAAGATCGTCAGAGATTTGAGCCGGTCTTAAAGCCGACGAGCTTCCAGGAGGCCGAGGAAGATGTGGCCACTCAGGAGCGCTGGTACATGTGTCCTGCATTTGCAGGGTTTTCTAGGGTTTTGGGCTTGACTGCGATCTTGGCCATGTGTTCGATGGTGATCCTGTCTAGCATTTATTTTCTCAATTTGCACTAGGGTGTTGTAGTTTTTCAAGGTTTCAAAAGGCTTCTGGTGGTCCACGTTTGTAGGGTTTTTGTTGCGCATTTGCTAGAGCAGCTTTCTGGTGTGGCGGCACCCATGGGCACAAGAACAGATTCCGGGCCCCAATGCCGAGCTTTCATTTTGAGGGTTTAGGGCTCACGGTTTAGGGCTTTCGCGTTTGGGGTTGAGGGCTTTAGGGTTTAGGGTTCGAAGGACCCTTCTTAGAAGCTACACCCCGTTACCTAAAGCGTCCAAGCCCTCAGAAGCAAAGGCCAGACCCCAAATCCAGTGGGAAAACATGGAGTCCGAAACCCACGGGTTTAGTGCTTTGGGTTTAGGGCTTCATCAGATGCCCGAAAACCCAAACCCGAAAGCCCTCCAGCCCATACGATTTGGGGTCGGGGAAATAGGTTTAGGGTTTAAGTTTTGTAAAACCCCTATCCTTAGTATTAGTTCTCCAATACCCAACCTTTAAACTTTTGGGTTCTTAAGGTTTAGTAGGAATCTGAAAGTTCAACCTGTTACTTCCCTGGCTTATTGGGGAGAGTAAGTATCAGACCCCAGAAGCACCCTTTCAAAAACCGCTATAAGACCCTGGGGCAACCCCTTATCCCCAAAGCCTTCAGTATAGGCCCTGGCTGATCTGTACCCGAAGGAGGCGGGGCATCTTCTCCAGAGCGATAGGTGTAGAGTTCACAGGGTGCCGGGTTTAGGGTTTAGGTTCAGATCTCATTGACTTCAGGGCTTTAGGCTTGGAGTTGGTAGGGTTCAGAGGTTCGTGTTGGAGTTGATACGGCAAGCGTTTAAGCTTGGACAGCATGGAGTGCATGTTGCATGGTCTAGGCTGAGGGTCAAGAGACTTAATTCACGGTATAGGCTTTGCGTGGCGGGTTCACACCTTCTGGGACGTGCTCGGTAATTTTCAGTGTGTTCTTTGCTTTGCTCATTAGTCCGAAGAATGTCTGCACTGACCTAAGCCGAAGCCCTAAGCACGGCAACCAAGCAGTTTCACAAATGGTTTGCACTCGTTGCAGTTGTAGGTTTCCGCTCACGCATTTTCAGATGCCTCTGTGGACTAGAACTCTCGCTCACAACGCCGTTTAATTTGAAGCAGGAGCAACATCAGTCCAGTCACACAGACCATAGTCATGGATTCATGGTTGCTAGGATACGCAACACAGACCCTGGGTACCAGAATGAGAACCAGGGCAATGAGCTGTACACACAATCTCAGCGACTGAGAGGGCAGTTCAGGGCTGGGGCTGTTGCCAAACAGGAAACTTTATGGGTTTAGGGTTTAGGGTTTAGGGTTTAGGGAATCATGTTTCCTTTGTCTTGACCTGCACCTGGAAAGCTCGTGTTTACAACTATGACAGGGTGTTCATGGGTGTTCGCTTACGTCTGCACTTACACATACAACATACGTACAATACACACAAACCTACATACATACAAACGTACGTAGGTAGAAACATGCATACCTGCAAACATCCATGCATACATGCATACATATACACATATGTCACACTCTGCATACATACATACATGCATGCATACATACATACATACATACATACACACATACATATATATATATATATACATATATATATATATGTAAATAGGTGTATATATATATACATATGTACACAGTGAGCAAAGGCGGTGGCATGCTATGCCATCATGTTGGAACAAAGGTCGCTCTTGCAAGGCATCTGTGATGTCAAAACCGCAAGAAGAGGAACCCTAAACCTTAAAACGATGCCGCTTCTCTTCCACCTCCTAATGCACGAAACGACATGTCCGGCACGGTTTTGTGAATAGCCCCAGTGTCAAAAAGCAGACGCAGATCTTGGAGCGCTGATAGTGTTGAGGAGGGTCAGGCGTTTGTTCCCATACTCTCGAGCGGAGACGTTAAGGTTTATTGACTTTCTTTGTCCAGCCGCTAGCCCAGAAGTATCCCAAGCAGTCACGCTTGTTTGGGCCCTTGAAGAGTAGAGCAGTAAGAAAGGAAGCTAGCCTTGGCAACCAGTGGTAGCAGTGGGAGCCAGCAGTGCTCGAGATATGCTTGCAAAGACGAAGGCATTGAACGTAGTGACTGCGCTTTAGGGTTGAGGACACACCGCCCTACGCCGTGAATCGCGTCAGTGAGTGTCAGGTCAACGTGCTGCAACAGCCCTCCACGGCGAGGCGCGCGTTTCATGGCACATTGGAGGAGGTTCAGCAGTCTATGGCAGCAGTGTGGTAGCAGTAGTAGCAGCAGTAGCAGTAGTAGCAGTAGCAGTAGCAGTAGCAGCTAGTTGCCGTAGCAGTCTACAATCAGTCATAGTAGTTGAAACAAATATGGTTAGCTGGTTCTCTCCAATGGGATACCCTATGAAGACCTTGCTATAGCAGCGACGTTCTTCGCGGGAACTAAAGTGGGGAACCTCAATTAAAAGAAGCACCGATAATGTAACAAGCACTTGCAACGATACCCATGTTGCATGTGCTACTTGTAGTGAAGCGCACTTATACCTGTGGAACATCCAACATTTATACAGTATACATCAAGAGGTTGTTCATTCAACGAAACAGGCAGGCTGTCTGAATGAAAACACACGTGCATATATGCAAGGATATGGCCTTGTGTTTTGACTGGTTGTCTTTTGTCCTTGTGTCTAGGTATTCACCCAGTTGCGTCTATGTAGTGTTAGTGCAGACCAGAATGCAGCCCTGTGCACTTCAGCTCTACACCCTGACCTCGAGTCGCAAGTCTAAGGGCCTAAACCCTAAACATTAAACCCTAAACCCTAAACCCCAACCCCACAAGTTGAGTGCCTGAGCCAAGACAGGACGCCGACCCCAGCCGAGGCGCTCCGCACCTGCGAGGTGCGCAGGACTTCATGTGGGCTTAGGGTTTAGGGTTTAGGGTTTAGGGGTGGCTTATGAGGGTTTAGGTTAGGCATCGGAATACTTACTCAGGTTCATATACCCGAGTACCGAGACACACAACCCTTTCTTCATCACTGCGGTCCAAGTTCATAGCGGGGCCAACCTCGTCACTTTCCGATGATAGAATAAGTAGGCTTTTGCATTGCTTGGGTCATTTTTTGGATAGACCTCGGCGTTAAGCCATGTTATAAGTCTTGGCCTGCACACCCAGCCGTGAAGACTAATTCGGTTTAGGGTTTGTGTTTAGGGTAATTCCCTGCAGACCAAAGAAGTGGTTCTTGCCAAATCACTTGCCGGGTGTTCTGCGATGCCTGACAAACCCAAAAGCCCAAACTCTTACTGGGGTTGTTTCGGGGCTCAGGGCATATCCAGTTTGGGGAAATCGTAAACCATTGAACCCTAAACCATACAGCCCCAAGTTCGAAATCCGAGACAGAACGCAGTTTAGGGGCACTGTTGTGTGTATTCATTGCAGGGTAGTGTATTAGCCATGGACCCCGTGAAGACCTGTAAATTCATGTTATGAGGATCCTTCATGCCACAGCCCGTAAAGTAAAGCTTAGAGTAACCCTCCTTAACAATCCTGATTTTTTGGAGAACCCGAAGCCCCTTAAACCCTAAACCCCTAAACCCGTAAACCCTAAACCATAAACCCCTGAACCCCTAAACCCCTAAACCCTAAACCCCTAAACCCCTAACCCCTAAACCCCTAAACCCTAAACCCTACACCCTAAGCCTAAACCCTTACAACCCCTAAACCCCTACACCCTAAACCCCTAAATCCCGACACCCTAAACCCTAATCAAGGGCCCTGAATCCTCGACTCTTAGCCCCCTGAAACTGCAAAGATGATGCCGCGGTTTAGGGTTTAGGGTTTAGGGTTTAGGGTTTAGGGTTAACCCTAAACCCTAAACCCCTAAACCCTAAACCCTAAACCCTAAACCCTAAACCCTAAACCGATTCCCTGAAACTCTTGCACAGGCGACTGGGACAGGGGGAGCTGGAGATCTGGCGAAGGGCGTTGAGGTTGAGGAGGTGGGTTTCAGGATTTTTTTCGGGCTATGATTTAGGGGTTCAGGGTTTGGGGCTTCTTGAGTGTAGGGTTTGGGATTTGGGGTTTGGGGTTTTGTCTTGTGGTGTTCAATTTGGGCTTGGGCTAAGGGTTGGTTTAGAGTTTTGGGACGTGCTGGGTTTGGCTAACGGTGCTTTGGGTTTGGTATAGATGGTTGCCCGTTGGGTTTAGGGATGTTTAGGCTTCGAGGGCTTGGGGCTTGGCACAGCAATAACAACAGCAGCAGGAGCAACCACGACGACAACGACAACACAGCGACACCGACACGAGAACGAGAACGAGAACGAGAACGAGAACGGGAAAGACAACAAGAACAACAGCACCAGCAGCAGCAACAGCAACAAGAACAACTACATTTGCTACTGCTGTTGCTGCTGCTTGCTGCTGCAGCAGCAGCTGCTGCTGCAATAAGTAATATGACCTTGGCATGCAATTTGCCTAATGACCCCTGAACCCTGCGCCACGACAATCAGCCGATGTGTCCAGGCCAAGTACACGGCCGTATTCTTGGATAGCGAGAGCCAGCAGGCTTTGATGGACTTTTGTGTGACTCGGCGTTAGATCCCAAGCCCCATTATCCGAGGTCGGGAATGAAGTTGCACGGCAACCCAGACGGGTGGTTGTCAAAATTATGGTCCCTTTTTGGGTCCTTATTATAATACGGCACCTAATATTCAGGATACCCAAAAAGGGACCCTAATTTTGACAACCACCCAGGCAAAAGCCTACTAAATTTCAAAATACAACCCTAAACCCTAAACCCTAAACCCTAAACCCTATAAAGCAGGAATGACATTGCACGACTTCGGCCAGAGGGTTCCTGTGCGGCTGTGCCAAAGGAAGGAAGTCTCGTAGTCTAGGGTTTAGGGTTTAGGGTTTAGGGTTTAGGGTTTAGGTATAGGGTTTAGGGTTTAGGGTTTAGGGTCTAGGGTTTAGGTACCAAGATCTTCCCAAATCTCTTAAATAAGGCGTAAACCATAACTCAGATTTAAGGTGTATTCCTTACTTAACTCGAAGGGTCCATGTACCCAAATAGTATATACTTTGGCCTTAAAGTAAACCCTACATAGGTACTTTGGAGCCCATGTATATACTGTATGAGTACATGGACCCTCAGAGTAAGGGAGAAACGCAAGATCTGGGTAGCCTGAAAGGAATCCCTCGTTCCGTTAAACAGTAGTGAATGCTCTGGGAAAGCTTCCAGTAAGCTTGGATTTTGGCTTTAGGCGTTTGCTGGTCTCACCGCCGGATCAAGGCCAAGGAGTCACCATGTATCCCCCCAAAACAACCAGTTGCAAGCAAAACGGCCTCTGGGCGTTTAGGGGTTTGGGGCTGGAAGTTTAGGGTTCAGGGTTTAAGGTTTAAGGCTTCATGCGAGAACAAGGAATGGCACAAACTTCGAGGTCCCTCCACGCAGGTCGTGTTCGGATACCCAAGTACATGCCAGCTCTCCCTGCTTCCCCCAGTTCTCATAGGCTCGGGCTCGAAGAGTCGGGGGTTCGAGGTTGGAACAAACCCTAAACCCTAAAAACCCTAAACCCTAAACCCCGACTTCGTCGAGGGGCACCGGTTGAAGAGAAGATGCAGATAAATCCTTCTACAAGGGGCGGTTCTTGGTCGCGTGTTATCCAGTGGAAGGATTTGGGAGTTTCAATTAAGGTACCTTATTTTGGGGTCCTTATAATAAGGATCCTACTATTCAAGGTACTATATTAGGGTCCCCTATTNNCTATTTTCGGAAACCCCCATTTCCGATCAAAGTAACTTCAGCACTGTCGTCGGTTCTTAATGCAGTGGTTCATCATTGCCCGGCTCAGGGTACTTGTTCTCCTCCTAGGTATCTGCACATGCAATCCGGATACTGCATAGGCCCCGGAAGGTTATACTCAGGAAGATGGCAACGAGTTAGGTTGTGAGCATTCTCATCTTCCAAGCTGCACCACCATATCTCCCTCAGGAGTCTTTGACCCGCAAGACCAGCTTCATGCTCAAGAGATGGATCACCCTCGTTGTCTGACGCAATGTTCCTGTCCGAAACACTCCTGCGGAATCCTAACCACCCGACACCAGGCTTTGGGATAGCACCAACTGAGGCGAAGTCCGTCCCGGGAGGAATTCCATCGGAGTGGACAACGTTTTGCGATCACATGACGCATCTGGGCTGCCACAAGAATCGAGCCAGGAACTCCAACGGTCTGAGCGACGCCTCGCACCATCACCCTCTGCACTGAACTTTTAAACACCACATGGTGTTGCCGCACCGTTTGGCAACGGTATCCAACGTGGGGATAATCATAACAAAGAATAACCGTTCTTATCATCCTAATGAAAAATAGTACTTCTCAGAAGGGCCTAGCCAAGAGAAACCATAGCATAGGGACCCGGGCTATTTTTCTCGAGCCGTGGCTTTATACCCCAAGAACCCCCCAAAAAACATTAAGCCTCCAGGGTTCTAAGCCACCGAAACCCTCAATCCTTCAACCTTTTCAAACCTAAACCCTAAACCCTA